TTACCCTATATTTGAAAATTGGAAAATTTTAGTTCGAGGTTTTATTTAATTTAAAAATTCATTATATATGCAAGGTTTTGAAAAGGATTTCAATTTTCTTTGAGAATTACTAGTGGTCACCCCTAAGCATAACGTGGGAGATACACTATTAACTCCCTAATAAATGAGCATATCCTTGTTTTTGAGATCATGATGCAATCAAACAACTTATTATTAAGCCTAATTAAACTAAGTGGTTAATTAAGACTTTCCACTAAACTAAAGTGTCAAATATGTAATTTAATGAACCAAGAGGACTAAACCTAGAAATATTGTGTAATACCCTAAATTTTGGTTAGTGACTAAAATATAAGTTTTGAAAGTTTGGTGACCAAAATATAAATTTTGTAAAAGTTTAGGGGACCAAAAATTTAATTTTTTAAAAGTTATATATTTTGGGCCTTAAATGGATAGTTTGTTCTAAATCAATGTTTTTTGTTAGTTAAATTTTTTATTTGGGGTTTGTATTAAAAGTTAAAAAGTAGTAAAGTCTGATAAGAAATCAGATAATCGAATGGAACAGGAATTTTACAAAAATTTGAATGATGCTAGATAAAGGTTGCAATTATTATTTTCATATTTTAGAATAGTGAAATTCATGGTGGATCAGTGAATTGAAGTTAATTTTTCCCTATTAAGCTGAAATTGGGAAAATTTGGTGAGTAAATTGCAAATTTTTTAAAATTGTATGGTCAATGTGGAAAACTTAGATTAGGTTCATCTTTAACTATGGAATATTATAATAGAAGATGTTCCAATGGAAATTGGTAATTATCATGATTCATTAAGGGTGAAATAGAAAATTATCATTAACTGAATTTTAAATTTAGTTATATTAGAATGGTGACAAGTGTTTTAGTTGATAATTACAAAAAGAATCAAAGAATTTTCAGCTCTTCTCCAAGCTTTGGCCGAAACTCCATAGCTCCCAAAGGTGAGGATTTTGTTTTGATTTTTGAAGCTATATGGTTGATTCTTGGATTAAACTATTAGATATAGAATTAATCCCTTGAAATTCTCTATCATTTGGTATAAAAATTACATGGGAATAATGCTTAGATGTTGAGTTTCATGAATTGGTTGGTTGAAGAACATGTTTGATTTTGAAGATTTGATGGATGATTTTTATTTATTAATGTTGAATAATTCTAAAGCACGAGTGATGATTAAAATCAAGTGTAAAAGCTTGTATAATGTTAAACAATGGTTAGGGTTTATAAAGGTTTATTGAATTTTGATTGAATCTTATGTTATGATGATTGGAATAGCATGAATTTGATATTAGGAAGTTGAATCATGCTTGAGATTGAATGAAAAGTTTACCCTAATTGTTTTAATAGGTTTGGACATAGGGAAAATTTATGGGAAAACGTTGAAAAATTTCCTATGGTCTAGAATTGATATTAGATGTGTTCTACGTGTTGTGGAGATTGATTGGATCAATTTGATACTTGAGATAGTAAAGACCATATTGCAAGTTTTGGAAATTATGAGTTATTGATGGGAAATTGTGCAGTTATGAGTATTCAATGTTAATATTTAAATATTGAATGATGAATTTGAAGTTAGAATGTTGATTTGGGACTAAAGTGCAAATTTGGTAAAATTCTATGGTGGAATTCAAATGGACTTGTTAGTTAAGGACTTAATTGTAATTTTTAAATGTGATGGTATTAATTGAGTATGATACTATAATGTTGGAATTATTACTTAAATGTTGATTTTCAAGTTTAAGTATATGTTTGGGATCAAATTGCAAGGTGCTAAAGTTAATAGTTGAACTCGAAAATGCTATAGAAAATCAAGGATGAAATCGAAAGTATTCAAATGTTAAAGTGTTGGATTGGGTATATTATTTACATGCTTAAATTTTAGTGTTTGAGTAGAGATAAATGAAAATGATGAAGGTTCATTTTGAGTTAATGGAAAAGTTGATGTGAATTCTAAAAGAATTCATAAATAGCGATTTGAATGCAAAGTTTGTGAAAGTTAAAGGATTGCTAATGGAAATAAATATTTATCGAATTGAATAATTATTTTGGAAAGCTTGAAGTTATGATGGATTTGTGATTCAATTTTTTAACGATTTAGAATCGATTATGTTTTAAAAAATGTATTTTATCAGAATTAGATTATATTAGTATAATACTAACATATATGTTAAATATTTTGCTATTATGTGATGTTGTCCATACCACGATAAATCTAGCTATCCGAATTACACAAAAGGGAAGGAAAAAGCACACGAGTAAAAGGATATCATATAAAAGGTTCGGTAGTAAGGCAAAGGTGAGTGCAGTTAATTTATTTAATTATTTGATTAAGGAAGACTTGCGATAAGTTAACCTCGTATGATATTATTTTAAAAGAATGATTTAAATTTTGATTATAAAATATTTCCATAATGCTTATATAAAGGTTTTATGAATGATTTAGGTATGAAATGTCTAAGTAATAAATTTTTATAATGATGAATTGAAAATGATTATAGTTTGGAAATGTTGATTATTAAATAAACATGATGTGATCTGAAGCCCATTGAATGTTTTATTGAGAGGCGCAGGTACACTTGGCAGACCATTAAGTTGAGTTATTTTGATTTCAATCTGGTACATTCATGTACATTATGTATTGCAACGTTGGTGCAAATGGTATGATTGCACTTGGAGTGCATATTCTGATGATGATGGCACTATTGGTGCTTAGATCACACATTATGTTTGACTCACGTACCTTGCATTTTCTTAAATATGCATTGGGCCATGAAAATGAAATATGAAACTTCTAAAATGTATCTGAATGAAAAAGAATACGAAATGATTATGATGTTGATAATGATGGTGGTGATTTTGATAAATCATGATATTATGATTTTTAGGTTTTTGATGAGGAAAAGAGCTTATATAATCAGTTTGAAAGTTCAATGATTTTATTTGAACTATCTTTTTCTATTTTTAAGTATTTATGATATTTTTATGTTCTATATCACCGTGATAAGTTAAATATAGTAACAATATTTATTTGTTACTATAAATAGTATAAAATAGTAACAAACACAATTTTTCACAATAAATTTTACATGACGAGGTTGTTCTAACAAACATGGTAACAAATAAAAATCTTCAAAATAAATATATCATGATCAATTTAGTACTTTTGGTGACAAATAATTTTATTGGAAGAATGGAAATTTATTGTAGTGATTTTCATGCATAAGTTCGGATAAGAAAAAAAACGTGAACAGTGGAGCCTCCTGAGCATCTTTTGAAATGAGTACCTACTGACAATATCATAAAGACATCTATGACGTTTATTTTGAATTTTAGTGGCATGTATATTATATATGTTTGTTTACTCAATGGTTTTATTTAGAATGGTTTGTAATAGTAAATTAGGATTATTTTATTTTGGCTAGTTATATCTTGAAATATGAATGAATAGTATACATATAATATTATGGTTTAAATAAATATTTAAAGAGTTTTTAAATTAAGCAGTGTTTAGGTAGTTTTACATAGATTATGAAATAGCATTGAATTGCCTAATTGATGCCTGAAATTGGTTTTGTTTTGAATGATAAATTATTATTTTATGGTTTTACCAGATTAACTAAATAGGTTTTAATTGTTAAATTGAGATTTTAGAAATGGTTCAAAACTTTAAGGGTTTTTGAGCAAAGAATGTCTGCATGTTTAAGGTAACATCTTTAACTCGTATTTCAATTGTATACGGGTTATAGGTGTTACATGTAGGCTCTAATATTAACTCTAGTTGATTTTAATCAATTATTGAATCAAATAATCGAAATGGACCCTCATGCATTTTAATGCGAAGGCCAAATCTCATTATTCCCTAAAGTTAAAGGAGTATAGTGAAATTAAGCCTAAAATGGAGCTCTAAATTAAACCTAATTGATTTTAACCAATTATTGAATTGAATAATCAAAATGGACCCTCAGGCATTAAGGCAAGGGCCAAATCGAATTATTCCCTAAATTAAATGACTACAATGAAATTCTAAATTTAAGACCTATACCAAAAAAAACTTCTTAGGACTGGAATGAAATAAACCTAAATTTGATGGTACGAAAAACTAATCAAAAAATAAAATTTAAATTAAAAGGAAAATAGGATATACAAAAAAAATGTAATATACTTTCGAACAAACATATTTAATGATTTACATACACAAGAATCTCATACATTTTAAAAAAGTTATCGACACGTTATTTAATATATATATATATATATATATATATATATATATATATATATACTATGCCATAAATGTTATAATATAATAAAATAAATGCAGCGTAAATATAGAGAAAACAAAATTTAATAGTAAATAGGTAAATACTAGAGAAATTAATGTAAACGAACGAAGAGGAAAATCACAGATTTAAAAAGTATGGAAGTTAATCAATTTGTTAAATAGAAGAAAAAATAATATGGAAATGAAACTAAGAGTAATATTCAACAAAAACCTACCAAATATATAGCACATATTTACATGCATAGTATGTGTGCTTAAACGTTACCATAACTAGAGTAATACATGTGTGTGTGGGGTAAAAAATAAAACTTAAAATTATTGAGGGGGACTTACTTTACAGATTATATACGCTCATTGGTATTCATTTTTCGACTGAAATAAAATATTTATAAATTAAATGACATATTCGGAAATAATAACAAAATAAAATAAAATAATGACAAAAGTGTAATTTACACACACACAATAGGAAGACCTAAAGCTAATTTTTCCAATGACTATAGATTAATAAAAAATGGTATATTTACATGAAAAGGGCATGCGATTTGAAATAACAATCGAAACGACATAATTTAGTGATTAAAGCAAAAAATGTGGCAAAATCTCATGGACATGAAAGGGGTTAAACCCTAAACTCTGACTATTTAAACCAAAATTTGTGTTTTGGTTTCATTTGAAGCCCTAGCCACACAAAAAAACACTCTCCCCTTTTTTTCTCTCTCCTTAATCAGCCGTGGAGATCTAGGAGCTCCCACCGGCCACCGTACATCGGTGGCAATTCCCTATATTTAATTGTCATCCACGACGATTGGAGAACCCAAACCGACTAAAAAATGTTTGATTTCTCCCCCAAAGCCCGGATCCGAGCCTAAAAAGCATAAAAAGACTACCCACTCTCATATTTCTTCTTAAAACTAGATTTAAACTAACCCTAAACTAGAAACCCTAAAACTCCTAAAAGGGCTTGACCCTTCGATCTCTAATCTTCAATAAGACCCCAAACGATATGGTGAAAGTATAGAGACCCCCTGTTTGGATTCAGACTGCTCTGATAAGGTAAATAATCGCTCACTTTTCTTACTATTTTTTCTGTTCAAATATGAAAGTAAAAAACTGGGTATGTTGAAAGAATGAAACAAAGAAAATACCTTCTGAAAAACTTGTGTATTGCTTTTGTTGTTTTAAATAGAAAATGTGGAATACCACTTTACATATTGTTGGAGGGGATTTTATATAACCACCCCTCTGATTTTACAAAAACATAAACCAAATCTAATCTTTACTTGCTTTCTGACATTCCTTCATTACCTGTGTCTGGAGTTTGGCGAGATCGTACGGGCATGTTTGGCGTTGATGGAGCGGGTGGCGGCAGTTTGGGTAGAGATGGTAACATATACCCCAGATATTAAGGGATTTATGTTTTTAACTTTTGTTTTTTTCTTTTTTTGTAATGAATAATAAAAAATAATAATATATTGAGATAAAAATGGTGATTACTCATCTCATCTCAAGTATATTGGTTAGGGGATTAAAGGTCATCAAAACTCTATAAATAAGACTACAAGTAAGAACAACGATAAGGACTATAATTACGTCTAGAAACAATATAAATTAGGAAGTCGTAAAACTAGACATGTATGACGCTCGGGAAACAATCAGGCCACCTAAGTTACTCTACTGGCAGGATAAATGTTTGTACGTTAAAATGTCCTGAAAAATATTTGTTAATGCACAAGACAATTTTTTGTCGGCCGAGCGTAGATGCCCCAAGTACTCGCACGGAGTTGGTTGGTTGGGCGAATGCTTTTGGTGTAGAAATTTCAGATCTCACCATAGGTATTCTAGAGGGGGTGTGTGTCTTTAAGATGTAGCGAAACCCTCTAACCAAACCATGATACCTACATTTGTATGTATGTTTAGATTAGCATATTCGTATGCTAACTTTTACATTTGCTAGTATGATCATGTAATGACGCATGTAGTATAGTTTGGTTATTAGTGTGGCACTGAGCTTGTGAGCTCGGCGTTTAGAATTTGTTTTCGTGCGTAGGTTATTAGGAAGAGTGTTTCAGGAGTTATCGCGTAGTCGGCTTTCTAGACCGACAAGAGCTTTAGATTACATATTGAGTCTTTATTAGAGGGAATGTACTATATATGGACCTTTTTGTATTTTAGTCGTAATTGTATTTTGAAATACTCTTTTAAAATGGCTTGGATGTATTTTTGGGGCTCTGTGTTTGTAAACTTAAGCGTCATGATTTTTCTTTATGATTGTGATGGATGACTTTTAGTCAATGTTTTCATAAGTTTTAAAATTTGAGTATCATGTGCCTTATGGTCTTCTTCAACCAACTCAAATACCCCATTGGAAGTGGGATAGGGTTACCATGGATTTTGTGAATAGCTTACCCGTGACTCGTAAAAAAAAGACTCTATTTGGGTAATTATGGACCGATTGACCAAGTCTGCTCATTTTCTACCAATACAAATAGATTTCACCTTGATGAAATTACCACAAAATTGTATCAAAGAAATTGTGAGACCTCATCAATTATATCCGATAGGGATCCTCATTTCACTTCAAGGTTTTAGAAGAAACTACATTAGGATTTGGAGAATAAATTACATTTTAGTATGACATTTCATCCTTAAACTGACGGACAATCAGAACGAGTTATTTAGACACTTGAGGACGTGCTTAGATGTTGTGTAATTGAATTTGGGTGAAATTGGGAAGATTATTTACCATTAATGGAATTTGCATATAACAATACCTATAAAGCAAGTATTTAGATGGCTATCAATGAAGTATTTAGATGGTCCCATATGGAGCACTGCATAAAAGAAAGTGGATGACACCATTATGTTGGACGGAACTCCACAAAAGAAAATTAGTTGGTCTAGATTTGATTTATGAGACCGAAGAAAAAGTAAGAATAATTTAAGACAGACTGAAAGCAGTCTTTGACCATTATGTTTCGAATGTGTCTCCGTGAAACAAAATACTAAGATTCGATCAAAAAGGAAAATTTGAGCCTTCGATTCATCGGACCGTGTGAAATTTTTGAATAAGTTAGGCCAATAGCATACCGTTTGGACTTACATTCAAAATTGGATCGGATTCACAATGTTTTCTATTTATATATACTAAGGAAATATCGATCTGGTCTTTCCCATGATATACCCTTAGAACAGATTGAAGTGGATACCGATTTGACCTATGAGGAAGAACATATAAGAATATTGGCTAAAGATGTTAAATAATTATGAAATAAGTGCATCCCCTTTGTGAAAGTTTTATGAAATAATCATAGGTTTAATAAACTACTTGGGAACCGTAAGAGACGATACAACTTCAGTATCCATAATTATTTACCTCATGTAAATTTTGAGGACAAAATTTCTTCTAATGGGGGAGAATTGTAATGGTCTGGTACAAATCAAATTAGAAAATTGAACATTTATTAATGCATGAAAATTTGAAGTTTTGGTTTGGGCTACTAGAGGAAATTAATAAAGTAAGTAAAGGCCCAAGTTATAAGCTCAAAGGAATGAAATATTGAACCATAAAAATATGAAGACTTATGAGGTAATTATACCAAATGGTTAAAATAATATATCCTAGGTCTTATTATAGGGGTTTTAACGTGGAGTGAAAGGAAGGAAAAGAGAGAAAAAAAAGGAGAAAGGTTTTTTTTTCTAGACATTTCTTCCTTTATGTTTATTATCTTATGTTCTTATATTCTTTGTGTTGGGAGCAAATTGTGAGAGGTAAAAAATAAATTTTTACTTGCTAATGTGTGAATTTATGTTATATTGATGTTTCTTTAAATCATAATGTCGAGAGTCATTTTCGTCCGAGCTTACGTTTTATATTATAATTATATTATATTATATTATTATTATTAATAAATAATAAATACATTACAGACCCAATTAAAAAAAGTTGACCCAGATACCCCAATTATAACCAGAGTCCAATATATCCACCCGGTTCTAGCAGATCCGAAACACGGTTTAGGCCCAAATTTGATCCAAGCCTAGATCCTATCTAGGCCCAGACAACACAGTAAGCCCGAGTAACCCAGAATTCAGCTGCTCGGGTTTCTACATTTCATCTCCTGCCGCCACAGCTTACAACCGTTGGATCTCTCCAGATCCAACGTACAGATGGAGTTTCCAGAAACCATAGGGTTTCATTACAACCCTAGGGCTATTCCGGCTGCCGCGTCCATGTGCTCCAACCAGCAGCCTCCACCTCACCGTCGGATCCAGAAGATATGGGTGCATTTAATGCATCCAGAAGGATATCTGTACACCAAGTTGCCCCTAGGGTGAGTCACCACCGTAGCTCCGGAGACTCGCCGAGGTTACCCCTATTAACCAGTCCAAAGGGTGATTCGAAGAACCCTATAAATAGGGTCCAAAACTACAAAAAAGAAAAAACCCAAAAAAAGCAAGCAAGAAAATACCCAGCAACCAATCCACAAAAAATTAGAAAAATATAGAAAAGAGATCGGGAGAGCCTTACCATCGTTGGAGCTTCCAAACGTTGCTAGAGAAGTCGAAACATCGAAGGTATAATCTTATATCTACTTTGATTGGAAGCTTTTTAGGTAAATGGTTTTCGATTTAAGATTTAGGGGAGATAGAGGAATATTTTGGGGGTATTTTTGAATTTTCGACCATCGTAGACGGTGGCCGACAGCGGCTGTGAGCGACGGCTGCCGGCCTGTGGACTGATTCCCTCCGGTGAGGGAATCCTAGAGAGAAGTAAGAGCTTCTCTCTCTAAGAGAGAGAAGCTAGAGAGAGAAGCTCAAAGAGAGAAATGAAAAGAGAAAAACCTTTTAGGCCGGTTTTTGGGTTTAAATGCCCTCCCCGAACGGCTTCATTTTAGAAAAGGGTGTTTGTAATGGGTAAATTACACCTGTGGTCCCTATATTTTGTACTCTTCATATTTTTGTAACTGAAATCAGGTTTTTATGTATTTTAATTTTGTCTTCACATTTTATTTATTTTTATTTTAATCACTGGCCATATATTTATATATTTTAGGTAAATAGCCATATTTAGTCCCTTAGATTTTAATAACTTTTATTTTAATCCCAATTAGTGAATTATGGTTGAATTACACTATCAGTACCTAGTCTTTTATGATAATTCGAATCATGACCATAAGTTTTATTATTTTTCAACTTAATCCCTTAATTTTTATATTTTTAATTTTTAATATTACTTTTAGTTTATTTACACTTTTAGTACCACAAATATAATTTATTTACAATATTGGTATTAATCTTTTATATTTTCACCATTAAAAGTATTATATGTAATCATGTCATATAATTTTATACAATGAATCATAAACTATTTCCTTAATTGATTAGGAAGATATTTTAAATTATTATTGGTATAAAATAATATCTCTAATGTTTGTTAAAGGGGCCATCATTTAAATTAAACTCAAATTTATAAAATTTTACTGCAAAGACATTAATTAATAAACAAAGGTATCAATTTTGGGCGTTGTGGGGGTGTTAATCCTTCCCCACACGTAAACGACTCCTGAACTCATTTTCTGGTAAGCAGACCCTTTTTGTGTTGTTTTAATAACTTTTTTTATAAATTTTATTAAAATAACCAAGCATTTTTTGTGACCAATCACACATCGATAAATGATTAGTGACGACTCCTCAAATTGTGTTTTATCGTATGCTAGAAGAAAAACACTTATTTTTTCGATACAAGATTTAGAAAATAATGACACTTGTTTTCGCTATGAAAATACCGTCTCGACAGCTTGGCGACTCCGCTGGGGACCTTTTTAGAGAGTCAAGCCACCAGTTTATTAATTAATTGTCTTTGCAATAAAATTATAAATTTGTTTTAATTTAGTTTTTGATCCCTTGATTATTTTGATACTCATTTTTTTAAATAGTTGTACTAACTTGTTTTTTTATGTTTCCAGATTTAATTATGGTTTTTTAGAATAAATTAGTATGGTGTACATTTTTTTCATCTTTCTGCTTTTCCTCACACACTGTGCACTGCATTATCATTACATGAGCTAAAACCCCGCTCTATCCTATTTAGTATGAATGAGAAACTACTCCCTCGTGTAGTGTTCACCTCCATAGAGGATAGGGGACCATTCCTTGAGCTCACACCTTATGTTTCTCGTGTGGTTTTCACCTCCGTATGGACATAAGGAAGTGTGTTCCTTTGAATTGAACTCAATCTGAAAGTCTGTAATGGATCAGGATTGAGGGTTTGGCAGCCCAATGGGACACCAACAAACGACAATTTGATGACCCTTTTTACCTTAGAGCCAAAACTCAACATATAATAAACCTAGAACTTGAGTCTAGGCAGAGCCTAACCCAAAAGAGTCTCTTAAGTTTAGCACACAAGGAAAAGCTTGTTGAGTCTTTTAATTTACGTAGTATTAATTTATTTTCCAAACATATGTATACTAGAAATCATGCACTTAAGTTTATTT